ATATTTCGTAAATGCGCTCGCGAACAAGATCTTTTTACTGAACTGTGCACCATCATCGACAGGCTCTTAATCACGTGCAACTGATGATACTACTGCAAACATGAGGTAACAAGAACAGACGTATCCATCACGACTCTAGTACCGCCGTCATCAACCGCTGTATATCAGAGTCACCGAAATGACACCGTAAAACTTTCATCCTGATTTGGTGGATTTTTAATTCAGGATGCATCAGTACTAAAATTCCACTGTAATGAAAGGAAAGCAGCTAAGGCGCACCCAGAATCAGATTATAGGCTGATGTAGCCGTATTTCCGTTTTACCCCCAGTGCTGCGATAGGTTATATTAGCTGTTAGTTAATCCATACCTGATTTTGACAATTTTTTAACCTTGTTCGAATATTCTTGCTGCCTCCTGCAATGGAATAGCAACAAAACAGAATTTTGCATTGTAAAATAAAAACTGCGCATGAAATTAACAGGCCAAACCTCGTAATCGAAAATCAAAACCATTCTCTGCGTAATGAAGTATTTGTCGAATCTACGATGTAATTCTCAATCCACTTTGAAGCTGAAGCTCTACAGTACGGATTTTGCCGGATACGTTAGGAAACTGCGAACTGAGACAATGCATTATTTCAAAAGAAACACCGCGATAAAAAACGGCGAACATTTCCTGATTAATTGTGACGAGGACTCAGCATTTAACGTCCAAACTTTAACTCGCTTGTAGTACTGCAAGACTTTACAGTATCTATAGCAGCTGACCTGTTAGAAGCCGCCGCGTCAGCTAGGCCTAAGTCTGAACGAGTAAAACAGGAGGTACCCAGACCTATATCAACTGTGGCAAATACGGAAACATTAATACCCGGATCATTAGACAGACAGATCGGTTCTACTGTGATAAATGAACAGGTAAATAACTGCTCGCTTATTTGCTTTGCTAAGATAGAGGCATAGCATAATCATGCTACCATATTGGAAAGTAAAGAATGAAGAGCACAACGGTTTACTTATAACAATGAACAATTGTTTCTTCTAAGAAATTTTCGACCCGCATAAAGCGCTTCATTACAAATCCTTCTGTCTAAGGTTAATTTTGATCTGCCATTGTCACTATGGGTTGGCATTCAGATATTACCATTATGCAGGGTTACTTCGTGCATAAACCACTAACGACTCAATGGAAAGATATCTAACAAACAGATAGGTGGAAATGGAAAGACGATTTTCATACGTCGAACTTTATTGCTCTCTTTAATACTATAGCGAACAACACAGAAAATACGAAACCTAAACGGACCAAAGTGCACTTAGTTTGAAGGTTCTACCATCCACTAACAAAGACATATGACACATACGCAAATCAGCGTATAAAATATTCTACATAATCAACCTGAATTTAAAAGGCATTCAACCGTACTACTCCAGATTTGGTTCAACTGTTCACGGACGTCGCACGACTTCAGATGCTGCAAAAATTACACCCATGTTCATTAACTGTTTGTACAAACAACCGCCCCCCCCCACCGCAAAATGAGGCATTGCTCTGTGGTGCGAGAAGCGACTGGAGGTGGACGTACTAGCGCTTATTGAGGAAAACCACGAATGAACCTAGCCAATGCGAAGGGCAATCGGAAATTCTGTCCAAGACGCTTTGCAGCCGAAACGTCATGCAAAGATCGGCCGAAATGGAAGATATCAGCAACTATTTGCCACCACTCATCTACGTGCAGCATGAGCCGAACTACTAAGAGAGTTGAAAGATGTTGGCACTGCAAGGAAATCTCATGTGAAACTGTGAGATTAAACTCAGCTAAGTGTCTGAAAAACGGACGATTCATTATACCGGCAAGTACAACTTTTGAACGGTTAATTGCAAAACCATACCTCTCCGTAACCCAAGAACTAACAAATAGTTTCAGCACATTCAATCAAGCACTAATCAAGCTTCAGTCCTCGTAACGAGACATCCTTCGGCGCTACGATGAAATCGAAATTTAAATTATGCTGAAACGAGCGAAAATCATTAGCAAATATACACCCATGATGCGCCAGTTTTAGGCAATAAAATACTGAGGAGTGGACGTAGCTGTAGCAGTAGTATTCTGATGTCTAACCACCAGTTTGACCTCCAAAACCCAAGAACAGTGGCTAATAATGTACTAATGCCAATAATCTTTCACACATAGGCACCGCGTGAATCTGATAAACAATATAAATATTCATAAGCATTCCGAATAACGACACACTCAACCGAGGAATACAAACACGAAGAGCAAAAGAACTGTTGCTTGGTCGTATATATATTTATAATATTGATCGTGAAACAACATATTGTACATAAATGTAACCAACACCTATCCAAAACTCCGCTGCAACAACATACAATTTCATACCTTGTAAAAACAAGACCGAATAAAATGAACCAAGCAACAAGCCAACGCAACCCAACTTGATAATACTCGCCACAGTGTTGCTACGCCACAAGTATAGATGATTTTCAGCTTGATATAAACAGTCAAAATTTTTTGTCGCGAATTTGCTACCGTACAATGACATACAATCTGTACTGCGGATTATATTGTAGCCCCGTTAGTATACACTAAGCATTTCATCCTATCGTGTTCAACATAGGATTTCCACGCAAATCCTAAGTTAAATTTCATCCAGTCACAAACTACAGCCTCAAAATCAGTTAACGCAGCTAGCCTCATAAGTTCAGCGTATTACAGCAAAAAAATAATTCAATATTTGTAATTTGAAATATAAATCTATCATTAAGTAGCTCATTTTCAATACCATTTCGTGTCGCGTAGTAGCAACATCAGATTATGCGTGCAACGCTCCTGATCTTGTGCCAGCGCCTGAGTTTCAACAGAAGGTATTTCGAGTCTGGAAAAAATTCCGTCAGGCCACTTGCCGACTATTATTGTTACAAGTTCTTGCGTGCTCATGTCGCTGATTCGGGAAATTCGGGTTTGGAAAGTCACGTAGGTTCCTCTTCTTAGTCCATACAGCGACGCCGTCTTTCAATTTAAAATTTTCAAGAAAAACTCAGGGGTCACTGTACGCTATAATTGGAAGCTCACAAATGATAGAAATGTTTGTAAAATCTGCGACTTTCGCAAGTCTGCATTGCCGACAAGAAAGATGGAGCAGTTTTGCCATCTTCTAGGCCACTGAACGGGTATTGTCAACGGATGTCATTGGTGTTTTGTCGTCGTAATATGAGGTTAATAGAGTTTAAACACAAAAGTAACTAAGAGAATCCTAGGTTCATATCCGCTGACCGTTAGAAATGATACATCGTATTGATATTAGGCTAATTTAAATGCGACGGCGAAGTTCATATTCCTCTCCGCAACAGTATGCTTCAACGAAGCTTTCCATGGCCAGTTCGCGGTTCTCAAGAGAGAATGATTTAATACGTTTTTTCACACGCCATACAGGTTGCCATAATTCGCTGAGACAAGTCCGAAACGTCGACTTACTTAAAGATCAGTGTTACTATCGTTAGCCAACACAAATTCGAAGTACCTAAAATGATTGATTCACTTCGTTCATCGTAATACCATTTTGTAATATCTTTGGACTGCCGGTAGCAGGGACACTCATAATGTTGGCGTTTATTTGTAGGGCCGCTCTAATAACGATGCTGCACACTTTTTCAATGAGTAGGCCAGTTGCGGAGTTGCTTACCCGGACGGCGTCATCGGCACACTCAAAATTCATTAGTAATACCGCCCAATATCTCGAGCTGCGTCTCTGTGCTTCACTGTTAGTTGGAACAATGCGCTCCTACATGACGTGGTTCGCCATGACGTTGAATAACAAAGGCGAGAGCACCTC